CCTCGGGAAACGTTCCACTGGGCTCAACCTGGTGAGTTGTAGTTACTAGAAGGGTAAGGCGTTCTGAGGAAGGTATCTATGATGAAAGCTCGCCAATAATCATGGGACCAAGAGATTTCAACACATGTTCAAAATATTACGATGATTGGCTGAGTCTTGTGCAAAGGTCGACCCGACCCTTCATTTCTTCGGAAATTTCTTCCTTTTTCCTCTTCTAGTCCTCCCTCCCTGGCATAGACTCGTACTGAAAATTACGGTCTCTTAATTCAACTCCCAAATTTCAGTTTCGTAAATTTTAAGAAAAATTATCTTCTTAAAATTATTTCATTTTCGAGATTCTAGGAATCAGTTAAGCTTTCCACTGAACCTGTTTTATTTTGGGCTGCCGCCTGAGGACCTAAATATGGATAAACTTTGTGGGTACGAAACTGCACATGGTCACACTTAACGGCTAATCCCGTTGCCGAAGATTGCAAAGGATGAGAAAGGAATTAGAGAATTTTTCGAACACAGATGGAATACATTCACAGTTACGCGATGTGTTGTTCGACGCAATAATATAATCTGCCTTAAGCCCCGCTTATCAATCCTAGAAATTGGCACTTCGTCTAATTTGAAGGGGATCACACGACTCCCAACCCCTTTTCTCGATCTGATATTCATTCATTTGCTACGGAGCTCTGCTCCAGTGCTGCGGTTCTGGAGTTTGCTAGTGATTTCGCTTCTTTTCTCTTTCACTCATACCTTGGTATTAACTTGATACTATCGCAACAAAAGCGGGTAGAAAGTAGCAGTGTAGGATCGCATAGTACCTCGGTGACTGTTGAGAAGGGGGTGAATTTATTAAAGAACATTCTTCTCCTCATTCGTTCCTTATATTCCTACAATTCTCGCTGTCTGTACATTAATGCAACAAGTTGACTTCCTTGACTTCACATAGAAATTTTTCGCCGTCGAATTTCGTATTGCAGAACATTTAGCCTACACAATCACATTTGTTCTTTTTACAGAAAATCATGAGCTCAAGCGACGACAGTTCATCCAGGAAATCCAGTGAATGCCATCGATTCTTCGGCTATGGCAAACGCATTCCAAGAGGTAAGAAGAGACTCAAGTACCACAGCCAACTAGGAATAAACCCTTCTAAGGGCCCTCAAATGACCATAACCACCAAGCATGTCACCTGTGCTGACCAGAAAGACCATGATACTAGATTGGACTTGTGATGCCACCTTGTTTTGGGGCGCTGGAAAACACAGGAAATCGCAGCGCAAAGGAGCTAGAGACCAGCTACTCATCACAGTAACAGTCAAATCAGCTCATGGGTAGACCGCACTGAGGCTTGAGCTGCATTCTAGTGAAGCTGTCCAAACTAGGAATTGAAGGAAAGCAAAAACTTTAGAAAAAAACGGAAAATAAATAAATCCCCCAAAAAAAAGACAATGAATCGTTTTCGCTTTCCGCTCAATAACACTCATTATTTCCTCCTCAATCCGGGCTCATGCCCAAGCTATCGAGGCTCGAAGGAAGCGTGGGCAAGCAAATTGCTTCGAACTCTCATACCTTCAACGAAACAACTCTGTAAATTATTTGAATAAATTTATGTGATTTGCAGATGTAAAACGACACTGCGGTATGTGTCGGCAGCATGGTGTGGTTGTCGAAACACGTGGCCATATTTGCCAGTTCAAAAACTGCGAATGCGATAAAGTGAGTTCCTTTCTTCGAGGACGTACGTGACCTTAGATCTAGAAATCACAGTGATTTCTGAGAAAAAATCAAAAATAAAACGTCAATGTTTTCAGTGCAAACTCGTCCGCAAGCGGCGCTCCATTATGTCAACCCAGATCCGCCTACGGCGAGAACAGGACAAGAGATTCCAGGTGAGAAATCAAAAACAAAAAAGATTTCTAGGAGAGAGTGAGAAGGTGTATAGGACATCATGAAATCAGTTTTGAACATAGCTGAAGCCTTGTGATTTCAGCGAACCACAATTGCCTCCGAAGCCGACGTTGTACCGTCCAATGGCGTTTTCGAGCCAGAAAAACGACACGACATCAGCCTTTGTTATTTCTGTCAGAAATGTAAAAATCATGGCGTACTGATGTGGAAAAAGGTAGGCATTCAGTTCACTTCAGAAAAACATCGTTTCACAACATAAGGGTTATTTCGTCACAGGGTCAACTAGGCCGTATTACACACATATCCCTACTTTTGAGGCAATCCTTCTCAATAATTGACATAGCAAAGGCTCTTAACACTGACTTCCGGCATATGCTTCGCCATCCAAGCTTTGAGCAATTCTAGCCTCTTTTGTGAGGATTCGAGGCTGACGCGGAAGTGGATTTTACATTGAATTTCAGGATCACAAGCGGAGTTGTGAATATGCAAATTGCCGTTGTGAGCAGTGTGATCTTATTGACACCAGAAGAGCACTAGATCGACACATCAAAAACAGCAAGGAAATGAAAACAGGTAAGGTAATTACGGTAGTCCACGGATACTGTAATCCCAGTGCTCAAACAATGGTCGAATTTTAGTCAACTCCTCCGATTACTTCTCATCCAGCTCGTCAGAAGAGTACAGTTCTGGAAGTGACAGCAACCTCTGGTCCATTGCCGTTCTCCAGCATGCCAGTCTCCTTTGCGTGCAATACTGATGCGGTAAGATTTACGTACTTTAGGCTAGCAACTGCAATACACGGCTCCTAAAGAACTTCGGCTAAGACTTTGACAATAACAATCTGTTCCGCAATTCCTCGAACAAATCGCTAATCTCGTATCATAAATCCAAATAAAAGCTCGGCTTTAGAAAAGAAAATGCAAATCCAAGCGATGTCTCTTCGAGTCGATTTTTCTTTGACTCCCTCGAAACTGAGGAAGATTAAGAAATAGAAGAATTAAAGAACAAGAGAGCTTAAAGGGGAGATGCCAAACACCTACGCTCGAGCGCTACGTAGACTTATGAGTCATATGAGCATATCATACGAGACAAGTCAATATAAGCCATAGGGAAGGTTGAGAAAAGTCAGCTTCAGTTGGTCTCCTCTAGATACGTCACTTCCACTTCGAGCCTTATTTTTTCTTTCGATAAGCAAATATGAAAGTGGTCAATCATATGGCAAGTATCATTCCTTTTCGCGCATTCTAGTTGAACGGAAAATCGTCCTCCTAACACCATAACCTCCCTCCATAAACATATTCAGATGTAAAGCACTTCGATAAGATAAGAGATAAGGACAAAGTATTGACGTTGTCATGCACCCCGCAATCGTCCTTCGTTTTGAATCTCATAGTCGATCGAAAATCAGTCGAACATCAGATCTTTCTCGGAAAGCCTGCTAACCTGTTACGCGACCTTAATTACTGGAATTTTGTAGAGATATATGAAGTGCAAAGAACAGCTTTACCAGAACTTGAATTTGCTTAGGCTGGCAGATGAATCCTAAAACAAATCCAACTTCTTTCAGATTCCTCTGCTTCCGATTCCTGACATTCCTCTACTGAAGTCGACAATAAACCCCAGCGGATCATTGATGCTGCCCGTCCTACCTTCGACGTTCCTGCCGTCTTCCAGTCTAAATTCCTCATTGCTTCCTCTCTCGTCTTTGCTATACAGTGGATTCGTACCCAATACCTCAAACGATTTCCTAGTTTCGAATTTTCTCAGTGCATTATCGCCATTTGAGATACAACTGCTTTTAGCAAGCATGCGCACCAGTACTGATACTAGTGCTTGTTTAAATTATGATATCAGCTCATTGTTGAGATAATACGGAATACGTAAGAAGTGCAAATCATCAGATTCAGTCACTGTGAACATATGTAGTTTTACGGGTATTTCTGTGAATTAAATGAATAAATATGAATATAAATAATACAAGAAGTACAAAATTAGTTGTATCAGAGATAACAACTGTGTTATACCAAAGTAGTTGCCCTCATCACCGTTTCTTGATGTCGTGTTTCGTCACACCTTTTCTCATTCGACAAAGGCAGTAATCTGAAGGAAGTTCAGCCTGTTGAATGATGAACAAGACGTTTAACTCAAGAAGATAAGCTTAACGTAGTGCAAGCTTTGTACTGTCTGGAACAACCTACATAACCTCGAACGATTTCCTAGTTTCGAGATCGCTTGTTACCCCACGCATATTGAACACCTTAGCCCCATCAGGTATTCGCGGCTTAGATACGTAAGTCAATGTAACGCCCATTTGCACCTGTAGTCAGGGTCAAGCGTCACGTTGGACAAGTTTTTAAAATTTTACGACCCCCCCCCAGGGTCAACCCTACCGTTGGTACTTTTTGGAAATTTTTCACGACCCCCTCCACCACCATGAGACTCAGGAGGTCCACCAATAACGACCACCACCCTTACCATCAGAGCTGTTACTATAGTATTTGATTCTGAGACCAGCTGACAAGTAAACTCTCAGCAACTTGCGTCTGAAACTCGAGAAACGCCATTTTTGCCTCTCTTTTATTGTACAACACCCACGCATTTATAAATAGTAAGTACTAGTCGGATACCAACAGGGGAACGGCAAATTTTTCTCTTAGCACTCACAAAGCGTAAAGCGTCACACTACGACCCCCGTTGGTGTAGGATTGACGCTGCCTCCGACCTTGCGAATACGACCCCCCCCTTTTCGTCGGCCGAATACGACCCCCCTCGTTGGACTTTGTCCAACGGACGGTTGACTCTGCCTGCAGTACCGTACGCTGTGCGCGACACCGCTCACCGCGTGAGCGTCCGACCTCATTAGCAGGGTGAAAATCGTGTCGAGGAAATGGCCGCCTCTTTACGACCCCCCCCCCTCAATGCAGACTCCGATACGACCCCTTTTACCCTCCGCACATCGGTTTCATAAAAAAAATGCTGTTTTCAGATGTACAAGAGGAATGCAGGGCGCTTCTATGAGAATGCTCCGCGGTTCAAATTCTGAACCTAACTTTGCTAGTGTTTTTCAAAGAACTGGTGCCATTCTTCGAGGAGAAATCCTTAAAATGGAACTGTAAACTTTTATTGAACGAACGTGGACGCTGATTACTGCGCAGAGCACGCAGGCAGCCGGACTCTAGCCTGCTTCCACGTTTGAGTCCAGCTTGAGCAAGATGAATAACTGTGGAGGAATTCCTCTACCATGGCTATATACTGCGTGAGAGTGCTAGTACTACTACTAGGGGAGTGCTTCTACGAAATAAGAACGGGAGAAGGGAAGGGGTGCTGCTCACACACAGTTGAACAGTCTCGCGCTCCAGTATAGCGGCGCTAACTACCCGCGATCGCGTCGCGCGCTGTGCCTAGAGCGCGCTAGTTGGAAAAATCGTCAAATGTACCCCCTATTTAAAGGACTATAACTTTCTTCATTGATAACCATTTCAGAAAAGTGAAGGCAGCTTTTGAATGCACAAGACTTCTAGTTTCTAAATTGTGCTGAGCGTTTTTCTAAGCACGCCTATTCTCGAGAGTGGGAGACGTCGAGGAATTGTCGAGGAAATTGAAATTTACATGCGAGTTTTCCACTCTTTGGAAGACAGTAGCTGTCTTCATTGGCAATCTTTTAGAAATCGGGACCATTATTGTAAACTAGAAGATTTACGCTTTTCAACAAAGTCTGCGTTTTTTCGCAATAGGCTCTAGTTCGCGAGAAATCTGCGTCGAGGAAATGTCAAGGAAATTTTCGAAGCCACTCGAAAACTCTATTACTCCCTCGCCGTAGTAAGGAACTTCTTTGAACACCCTTCAAAATGCTTCTGGCACGTCATCTCAATGAAGTAAATAGGAAATGATACACTTGGCGCAGATTCATTCCGTTCTGGTATGCGCCATGCAGTGACCCCACTCGGAGTCGTTTGAAAGGTGTTTTGTCTACACGACAACTACTTGTGCAGGCCGGAAGGTGTTTCTAGTCTCAATCAATCAGAATAACTCTTATGGCCATAGTATAGTATGATCATTCCTTTATTAAGTTTCTTTCCGACCCTGTTCCGATGAATGACGCATTTGCGGCTCCAGTACATCCATATATGTATGACTATGCCAAAGAAACTGCGAATTTCCCCGTGTTCCACTTTCTAGTGATATACTGTTCCTCCACCAGGTTCTCAAAGCGTCCACAAGTTAGGGTGGATATTTACTCCCCATTCCCTGCGACTCTTTTGCAAGACGCCTTCTCCTTCGAATTCGTCGTACTGATCGCTAGGAAGAAAATAAACAACCAGGTTCAATTCCAGAGAGTTGTAAGAAATCATGATAAATTACGCCAGCTAAAAGACTTGCGAAATAATGATGACAGCGAATGAGTCGCAGCAGCACCGTTGTATCCGTTGATGAACCTTGTGCCTACGATCCACCCACCACCTTCCATCGAAACAAATACGACCGCCTCTCGAGTATTTCTCCGACCGTTATTCATGCTGCTCATTAGCCCACGCTTGGATCGATCGTCTGCACCGTTGAGATTTCGCGCATGTTTGTGCTTCCAAATTTATCATACAGAAAATGCGGACAAATTATGCAGCAAACCTTGTTAACAATTCCTCGGAACTATGAACTTGCAAAATCCCACGTTGCTGAATTTTTTGTG